AGCGGGGCTTGTTGCAACAGGACAAGGGGGAATGGCTTTAAACTAAAGGGGGGTAGAGATTGAGACGATCTAAGGAAGACATTTTTTACGCTGAGGGTGGTGAAGCACTGGCACAGGTTGCCCAGAGAGGTGGTGGATGCCCCATCCCTGGAAACATTCCAGGTCAGGTTGGACGGGGCTCTGAGCAACCTGATCTAGTTGAAGATGTCCCTGCCCACGGGAGAGGTGTTGGACTAGATGACCTTTAAAGGTCCCTTCCAACCCAAACTATTCCATGATTCTATGAAAGTATAACCTGAAGATCAGCATCAATTTGGTTAGAATGAATAAAAGGCATATGAAGCCACCTGTGAAGATTTACAAACACACCACTGCAGATGGGTTCTAATCTGTCCTAAACACAGTCACAGTTCTGGTGTAGCTTCTGCATATTGCTGAATTTTTCAGACTTGGTGTGATCTTGTGCCTGCTGAGAACTACATCATTCTTCCTCCCACATCCTGCAAGAATAGCCTGTGGGCAATGTTAGGGTATGTGATAAAAACCACATTCCCCCCCATACACAGAGGAGCAGAGAAGCAAAAGCAGGTGAGGACCCTGAGCAATGCCCTGCCCAACAGCTCCCAGGACCAGCCATGTCCTGGGGTGACACCCAGCAGCAGCAACGGGAGCAGCTCCCACCTTTTGGGCTGAGAGGGGAACACTGCCTGCGGGTATGGGACATACTGTGGGGTGCAGGGGAGGAGCAGCTTGTGGTTGCACAAGACTTCTTATGGGATGTTTAGGAGAGGAACCAAAGGTGGGGAAAAGGAGGGATCAAGGTGGGTTGGGGAGGAACAAACGGGGAAAAATAGAGGGTTAAGGGGATAAAGGAGGTCAGTTGCATGTACGCAGGCTGCTGAGTGGTATGCTTGTCTGGCTATGCCCTCTGCCTGATCAGTGCAGTCTGTCCTGTCTTCTCCTTACACGCTGTTTTTAACTCTTTTCCTGGGTGAGGGGCTCTCTTGTGTGTGCACGTGTGGGTATGGGGGTGTGAGTGCAGGAACTGGAGTGGGACCACGGGTCGGAGGGGCCATGGGTCCATGGTGCCAGCAGCTCGAGGGAGTGTGGGTGTGCATACTGTGTGGGTGTGTTATGTCAGTGTGTGATCGCTACTAAAAATCCAGGCTAGCTGGTGCGTAGGTGAAGTGTGTGTCTCCCAGGGTGAGGCATGTGGAGGAGCTGGCTGCTGGAGGGACCAGGGGGTTCAGGCTAGCTGCTGCAGAGCCTGTGGGGTCTGGGGGTCGACTGATACCTGTTTGTACATGTGTGGATACGTGTTTCTCTGGGCAGGAGGCAGCTGGGGAGAGCGAGGGTTCAGGACCAGCTACTGGAGGGATCCGCATTGTACGTGTATTTTTATATATATTTTGCACTCACAGACCTTCACCCTGATCTGCCAGAGAGGGGAGCAGGACGGAGCTGTTGGTGCTGCTCATATGAGTGCTGAGTGTTTCTGTCTGTGTTGGCCAGTGGGGCCATCAGTGCATACACATGTTGTACGTGTGTGTTTGTGCATGAGTCTGCTGGGAATCCACGCACAGCCTCACTGCAGGCTGGACCCAGGGGCGTGGAGCTGCGGCAGCCTTGCCTGTCAGGCCAGTAGATTTAGCAACTCCCTAGCAGGCTAGAATCAGTCATGAAAATATTTGTCCTGAAATGCAGGACACATTTTTATTAAAGTGTAGGCTTTTGGCAGGAAAGAAGTACCTGTTCTTGACAGCCAGAGAGATACCAAACAAGCAGGTGAAGAAAAGTGGGCTTGATGCTGGGATCCCATTGCTATGTGACTGCCCTGTAGTGGATGACAGCTCCATGCACTTGCTGTACTTCCTAGGTAGAAAAAAACAAGGGAAGTGGATTAGTAAAGCAATATGGTGGTCAAGTGATAGAGCTAAATGGGGTCTTCTACCTGGAAATAGTTCAGAAGCTTCTGGTGGAGGGAAAGATGGCACTTTGCCACCAGGACAGGGTTAAACGAGTATTAAAAGGCCATCACGATACCTTACTCAGGACTGGATTAACAGTGTCTAAATTATTCTTCTTCAAGTGTTTGTCCAGTCTGCTTTTAAATACGGCAGTCCTGAATTTCCATAGGGCATTTGTCCTCTTACCTGACTCTCCCTACTGTTACAAAGCTTTTCTACATATCAGTAGGAGGAGTCAGAATGAGTTTTTTATTCATACTACCACCACAAGGGTAGTATCTCCTTTCCACAAGCAGGAGATTTTTAACCCAAAAAGAAAAAAAAAATTACTGTATTTTGACCTATCTTTGTTATTTCTACCTTCTAGATGAAGTACGGATGTTAAAGGGAATGCAGTGGGGCATCCCTCAGAAACCATCCTAGAAAATGCAATTGTTCCTCCTCCAGGCATGCCATAGGCCAGATCTATCTGAGCAAAACCCACGGTTTGGGCTGGTCAGGGCTATATGTTGGTATTCATTTATATTGGGATAAGTAGCTCCCATGTCTAAGCCAGCAAAACAAATGGTAGGAGTCTTCTTAAGGAGAGAGACGAAATCTAGAGTTATGAGAAATGAGCAATAAAGCTTTTAAATCAAATTTCCTTTGACAA